TTAAGAAGTTCTTATCTGAGGTATTTCTTTTTGTCATAACCGTCCTCTCTCTTTTTTTTTTTACATAACACATTGAACTTCAGGTTAGTAGTAAGTGGACTGTTACATAAGCAGCTAGCAAGAAAAGTTAATGAGGGCAAGAATTTACGAATCTGCGAATTATTTAAATATGTTAAATTATTTTTAAAGATATTATATTATCATACTACATAAGTTCATAGTTAGTATATTCTTTGCCACAACTATGAATAACAGAGTATGCATTAGATGTTAAACTATTTATTCTTCGGAATAAGATATTTATCAATATTTATCCATATATCTATCACCAGTAATTATTTATCTCTCGTTATACGTATATATAGCTTCCTATTTTCCTGTGTTTATTTGTCATGATTGTGACGGATGACGTAACACGTATTATACTGGCGAAGCGATATACTTTTGATATTAATTTATAAAGTAACAAGCGCATGCGCTTCGAATGTATTTCGGCCTCCTTTGATAAAATACATTCACTGTTTACGTCACGACTAAAACTTTTCTGGTTCGTAACCAACACTTACCGATACTAACTGAGGAACAAAAAACGGTAACGTTTTTCAAAATTGCAAGATTTGCATAAATTCTTATTTTTCTCAACCTATTAAACGTATTACTCATAGGCATGGTAAAAATACAGAACTACTAGGACTAAGACACAGTTAAGTATAATAGAAGAATTATTTTTAATATATCAAACAAAAGGTCTCCATTTATTTATTACGAGGCCTTGCATTAAAAGAACAACTTAAATTGAATCTAAATTCCAGTTAGACGTGTTACTTGTCAGCAGTGTTTCCAAATATATCCGAAACATCTAACAAAAGGGAAGCATTTTTCGTTGTTCCATTTATTGACTAAACAACAGCACTTACTGATCAAGAATTCAGGACAAGTCCTTACAGCAATTACTACCTAAAACCTGTAACATTAAATTTCCAACATTTTATAAAAACTTGCCGAAAATAATCATGACGAAATGCACAACATTATTACATATACACACCCACTCAACATGTCATTACTGGAAACCTTAACATTGTACGAAATGAAGATTTAAGGCTTTTGGTGGTAATGGATCTAAATTTCTCAAATATTCGCCTCCCAGTGGCACATCGGTACATTTTCGGACTTACAACGCTAGATCCGGGTTTCGATACCCGTGGTGGGCAGAGCACAGATAGCCCATTGTGTAGCTTTGTGCTTAACTTCAAACAAATCAAACTCAGATATTTAAATATTAACTGAAAACTCATTAAAAATATTGGTCAGTTACTAAACGTGTATTATCAAATTGGAATAAAAAAAAAGAAATTGAAAAATAAATACTATTAAATTTTCGCAATGGTACAAGAAATAATTAACAATAGAATCAGTTTTTGAGAAAAAGTCACACCTAATACTTTCACACACACACGTCACGAAAAGATATGAAAGAATCTTTAAAATATTTACCTGAAAAATATGTCATAACATCAGCAAGTGAAGTTGTCAATAACTTTTGTATTTATTTGACAAAAACTCTATATTACAAAACTTTGAAAGGAACTTTGTTACAACCTTCAGGTAATTCTATTTACACTTAAGTTAAGGCGATGCGAACAGCATTATCAAACAACATAGTAAAACTTTAACAGAATTTTCAGCTGATACAAATATTAACAATAACGTAATTCCCAAGTTATTGTGGAATCTTAAACTCCACAAGTTTGTTTGTTTGTTTTTG